GGCTGGTGTAATCTTTGACCAGCGGAGTACTTCTATACGATCGGAGATCGACAACACCCTCAACCCGGAGAAATCGAATGGAAAGAGGGGGTGGTCCATCCAGTCACGCATCCCCATCGATGGGGCCATGATTCGGAGTGAGTTAAGGCGAATAGGCGCACGCCGGCGGTGAGAGGTGGAATGGAAGGGCGCCGTCGGTGCCTGGGCACATCTGAGTTCCAGGTGCTTGAGACCAGGAGCACAGCGGTCCCAGATCTCGATAAGTGTCGATGGGCTGTTGAACGAACACTGGAGTCTCACGAAACGGAGAGTAGGCAGGCCAAACAGCTGTTGCAGAGCGATCGCAATCGAATGGGACAGGATGACCGGAGAGATACGAATTTCCTTCAAATGAGTGAATGAGAAAGTGCAGATCGTGGAGAGTGTGTCGATGGACATCAGGGGGGGAGAAAGTGCGAGTCGATGAATGTGCTGGACGAGGTGTGGGGAGGTATGCAGCGTCGCCTGGCAGCGAGACCACAAGGCGGCAACATCAATTTTCGTCGCTCCAAAATGACCGATGGATAGCTCTTTGAAAATATGGGATTGGGCCTCGTATACAAATGCACGGGAGACCAAGGCGCAGGCCTTCAGATCGGTCGGGGTGTCGTGGAGGAAATCAATGATGTGGTTCACCAGTTCCTGCGGCATCCGAATGTGGTCCGGGTACATTGGATGTGGTAGGGAAGCGAGTATCTTGTACGTTTAGGAGCTCTGACCCGTCGACGGTGGTGGGAAGAGGTAGGAGTGTCACGTTCACGTGCGACTGTGACTCTGCCTTACGGTCCCGGCATCTGCCGGCAATCTGACACCGACACGCTAATCATTGGTTCCGCCACCCCCACCAACCAAGCTCAAGGAAACACGCCTGCGAACCAGAAGCGCGCTGGTCCGCCACCCCCTTCCAAAGGCCCCGCTGGTCCCCAGCGGCCCGCTCCAAAGCCCCGCTCCCCGGGCGCCTCCCCAAAAGCGCACCCCTGCTGGCCCGCCGCCCGTTAAAGCGCCCGCCAAGGGCGCCGCACCTCCCGCCTCCAAGCCTACGACCCCTGCGCCCCCTCACCCGTTAACGCCCTTGCCTCTGCTACCGCCTCCGCCCCCGCCCTCGCCCCGCCGGCCATCGCGCCACGCGTCAGAGCGTTTGCGACATCCAGGGCATGTAAACAGCATGTGACATCGCACTCAACCCATTCATTCCCACCTGCGCGTTCGCCGTTGCCCGACTCGGAGCGAGTGCGTCGCAATATTTGACTATTGGGATATCAGCTGATTATGGACTTGTTCAGACGCGCCGTTCAACCCGGCCGCAGCCGCGAAGCGAACTGCACCTTTCGTGAGTCCTTTGATTTAATTTTCTGCGATCGCCGCTGTTAACACCGGCATTCAACAGCCCGCTTTGTGCGGCGGATGCGTCGCCCAATTCGGCGATCCTGACCCAGCGAACAACGTCGCGGCGGGCACCACTGGAAACACCGGCGCGATCGGAAGCGGCATGGGCAGCATCGGACGCGCTGGTGGCTTTGGTGGAAGCTCCGGGGGCTTTGGTGGAAGCGCGGGCGGCCCGCGCGCCAAAGTGCTGTCATCCCTCTCTTTTGTTGTCGAAGAAAGTAATAGTAATAATAATGTACGAGTGAAACATCATTAACATGTGGATTCGATTGTATTCAATCACTCGCGAAAGTCCTTTACTTGTACCTTCAATTTTGTCGTATTAGTTGAAATCCGTAACATAGCCGAGGATCTGCTGAGAGTTTGAAAAATGTACGCTGGCATAGGATATACTATTGGCAGAACACAGAATGGAAGGCGGGCTAGCACATGGAGTGCATCAGGAACACCTAAAATGGCGATATAAATTCCCTGGAGGAGCCCGTTCGATTCGGGCCCTCGCCATGAGCCATGCTTTCCACTTTTCTTGACGCCGGGCATTCCCCAAATCCTCAATCGACTGTAATTCACCGCAACGAGGGCCCCAGCGAGGAAATGAAGGAATAATATTGTCCTGCGCGCGAATATCCGTGTGCTGATTCCTGAATTATTCAGTGTAATCTATAAGTCTCAAGGGGAGGATGGGAGGCGGGGGTAGCACATGGAGTGCATGGGGGAAAATGAGATAGCGGACGGTGAGAAGTTCAACGACACAAAGTCCGGGTTCTATTTCACTCCCATCTTCTTCTTTATTTGACATCCAATAACACTGAATGACATTTCGACTACGTACATACTACTTTACACGGCGGGCGGTTGACACAAGCGTGCGCCACAAGGTGTGAGTGAGTAAGCGCGGGGATGAATGACGCGGACGGCGGACCGCACCGGAGCGTGCGATGGGGTTGGCCGTGACGAGGAGGCCATGGTTCTGCAGGATCGCGGGCTTCTTAGAAGCGAGGGCAGCGGCGATGGCGAGGGCGGTGCCCTAGACCTCGGCATCGTCCCGCGTGTGGAGGGAAAGAGAGCCCTCCGCCTCGGTAGGTGCTTGTAGTGCGCGCCGAAGACACTCCTAGGTGGTTGCATCGGCTGGCCGAACACGGCCGGCGCAGGCGCAGGTGGTTCAGGGTGTGCGCCGCTGAACGGGAACGTCTGCGCCCCGTCGTAGGAACGTCTGCGCTACGACGGGGCGCGCGGCCGTGCCGAAGAGCGGCGCCGGCGCGGGCGGGGCGGGGGTGCGAAAGGGGATTGCGGTTGCGGTTACGGGGCGAACGGGGAGGGGTGTTGTTGTTGGGAGGAGGAGGAGGAAGGCAGAAAAGAGTTTGTGGGGCGTAAGGAGGAAGGGAGAAGCGGGTTTACTGGCGCGGCGGTGGGAGCGGCGGTGAGGGCGGAGAATATCTGGGGGGAGGTGAGCTCCGCGCCGATGCGGAGGCAGGAGAGGCGGAGTTCCTGGGTAATGAGAAAACAACGCAGGGAAGGTTAATCTCTGCGTGAGTGCATAAATCCGCGACGCACCTCGACGCTATGCCCCGCAAACTCGGGGCGGCATGAAATACTCACAAACTGGTCCAGCGCGGAGAACGGCGTCGGGACGAAGAGCGGGGGGAGGCGCTGAGCGGCCCGCGCGGTGGGTTCGGCCGGGTACGGCGGGCAGGGCGGCGCGCGGCCCGTCGCGCGGTAGGACTCGAGGTAGTCGTTGATGCGCACTTCTTAAGTCCAAATACTCAGTGATGTGATGCGGGCCGAGGAGACCTCGAAGAGCTTGGATTGGGCGCCGTTGATGCAGGAGATAGTGAGGCTCATGCAGGTCTCGGCGCTGCTCGCCGCCGTCGTCGAGAAGGACATCGAGGAGGGAGAAAAGGTTGATCACGCTCACGTGCGGTTGTGACCCACTTGTTCTGCGTCACATTCATGCACAGAAATCGTTCTTAACTTCCAGGAGATATTTTGGATAGAAAGGCTAAATATAACCGCACGTTGTATCTCTGGCCAATTTTATGGTAGGGCCCAGTGCCACTAGGACTCGGTTTCACATTAAATCGGGCTACCGAGGGAGCAGCAGCGCCAAACAGCGCTCGGCTCGGAGCTTCCAAACGAGCGTAGTTTATTCCAAGAATGCCTTGGATAAAAACGACCTGATAGCACAAGGTAGTGCCTCTGCTTCAATTGGGTTTTTTCAAGTGAAACCATGTAACCAGATGATCCGCGTTCGACTCGCGGTCAGGTCATCGCCGCTGTTGACCCCTTTTTTTTGGTTTGGAGGGAGGCGGAAGATGCCTATGTACGCACTGGACAGAACTCGCCCTTTCCCTCGCGTCTCGGCTCGTCGGGCGGTTTGATGAAAAGGTGCACCGGCCCCCGGCGTGGTGAGTTGGGAATTTGGATGTATCATGTATCAAGCATATCTATGCTACGGGTACACCCCCCAGGTAATGAGGCGGGGCAGCACGTTGTGTGTACTGTGCTCAACTAGTTGGGTGGAAAATTTCGGACTCATATTCACAGTGGTGCCCGTTCGACTCGGGCCCCCGTCATATCGCCCCATTGTAGTACATTTTTTCTCAGGCTCCCTTGGGATTGTGACAGCTAAACATGGCAGGATATAATGAGGGTGGAACTCGGGATGTAAGGCGGGGTAGCACCCCGTGTGCACTGTGTTTGACTGCGGGAAAACCTTCACCTATACTTCACAGAGGTGCCCGTTCGACTCGGACCCCCGCCGTAGAACAAGTGAGAATATCCTTTTTTTCGTCGGCTCCCTTGTGATTCTGCCAGCCAAATATAATGAGGTGAAGCATACGGAGTGTAAGACGCGGTAGCGCAGGTGTGCACTCGGTTCAATTAGTCACAGAAGAATTACATCCCAGAAGACCCGTTCGAGGAGGGAGGATGAGAGGCGGGGTAGCACATGGAGTGCGCCAGGAACTAGTGTTCGGAAAAATTAAATTATACCGTCCTGAAGGAGCCCGTTCGATTCGGACCCCCGCCATGGATCCCAGGCGCACCATATTTTTGTTTCGCTCGGCCGACAGAGTCCGGGTTAATCGCCCTCGCTGGGTGAGTACGTGCTGGATAGAAAGAGGCGGGGTAGCAGACGGTGTGCACCAGGTAGTCATACTTCTTCTCCTCTTGAGACTGAATTTTTCTTGGGCGCCATTGAGATTTTGACAGCCAAACATCGGGGGATATAATGAGGTGTACGAGATAAGAAGGAAGGCGGGGTAGCACACGGTGTGCGCTGGGTTTGTATTCGAGGATCAGGTGTAATGATTACCTGGAGGTGCCCGTTCGACTCGGGCCCCCGCCATGGGTGAGCCGATAGGATGCTTTTGCTCGCTGTGACTAATCAAGTCGGGATTCCACAGCAGGAAATAATAAAGAAGGGTAGGAGGGAGGATGGGAGGCGGGGTCGCACATGGAGTGCACTGTCGGGAAACCTTTGTACCATATTCGGAGGTGTCCGTTCGACTCGGGCCCCCGCCATGGGGAAGAGCCCGTAACATGCTTTTGCACGGTGTGGCTAATCAAGTCGTGGAGGCGGGGTAGCACATGGAGTGCACTGTGTTCAACTTACGGGAGCCTTTGTACCACATTCGGAGGTGCCCGTTCGACTCGGGCCCCCGCCATGGGTGAGTCCAGAGCATGCTTTTGCTCGCTGTAGCTGATCAAGTCGTGATTTCGCAGTAGGAAATAACGAAAGGTAGGAGGGAGGATGGGAGGCGGGGTAGCACACGGTGTGCACTGTGCTCAACTGTGCGGACTTCTGATCAGTACATACTCTCAGAGGTGCCCGTTCGACTCGGGCACCCGCCATGGGGAAGAGCCCATAACATGCTTTTGGTCACTGTGGCTAATTAAATCGTTCATTCACAGTAGGAAATAGCGAGGGTATGAAGCTGGAGGGGAGGCGGGGTAGCACGCGGTGTGCGCCAGGTTGGTAAATTGTATTCGAAGATTACTCTGATGCAATGATTACCTGGAGGTGCCCGTTCGACTCGGGTCCCCGCCATCTGCAAAATTTGGAACGGTCTTTTTGTCGTCGCCCCTGGCTACTTTTGTGGGTAAGATACATGTAGAGAATAGATTCGTCGTACGATCCTTCGCGAAAATACAGAGATCCGATCAGCCATACGGAAAGAGGACGATACCTTTCCCCCTGAAGTCGATGAATGCTGACCCACCGTTATGGTGGATATGTGCACATTCTCAGCGGGTAAAGAGGTGAGTAGGACGGCGGGGTAGCATACGATGTGCAGAGGTTTGTATGAAAGTTTCGTCGATTCGGACCCCCCGCCATCTGAAAGGTTGAACGTTCTTTTTTTCGTCAGCTCCGCGCTTACATGGAGGTTCAGATACGTAAATAATGAGGGCGCGATGGGGCGCGAAAGACGGGGTAGCACACGGTATGCACTGTGTTCAACTCGATGCAAGATATGATACTTACTCAGAGAGGCGCCCTTTCGACTCGGGTCCCCGCCATTCGGAGTAGGCATCAACTCTTTTTTTCGTCGGCTCTCTTGGGATCCTTACAGCTAAATGGATATCTGCAGTATATCATTATATCATGAGGATAAGAACACGGGGTGTATGGTGGGGTAGCCTACGGTGTGCACCGGGGACTAATGTGACGACAAAGTGTTCTACCCCCCGAAGTAGCCAGTTCAATTCGGACCCCCGCCATGACGACCCTAGTCGCATCATATTTTTTGAATTGTATTCTCGGGCGGCCGGGCGGCATTCGAGATACATAGCGAGACTCGCGGTGAAGGAAGAGTACTAGTACTTAAGCATATGTGCGGGAGTGGTTTGGAAAGTGGAGTGCGGCTCGAGGACTATCCTTCAGACCCACCCTATGTGCCGGGAAGATCCAATATTGGAATGAAAGGGTGACCAAGGAGACAATAAAGAGAAGAGAGCTGCTCAGCTCCGAGAGGACGAGGAAGGCGCAGCGGAAACATGGTTTGGCCCTACAATACTCGTGCTAGAGGGCAGAGACGCGGGATGGCGGTCTTGTGAACCAGGGCTGCGTTGCTGAACAGTAACCATTCTAGCGAACCTGGCTCCATACTCTATAATCCTGAGATGAGAATAAGGCTGAAATCGGGTTGTAGAACCCAAGTTCAAGGAGGGAGAATGGATCACAATGCACTGATTTATTGACCCACATACATCATGCATGATTTGAGCTACCATAAAGCGCGTGTATAGCTCTGCGCAGGCCTGTAAGAAACGCACACTCCGAGACACGAGTGATAAAACTCACCTCAAACCAATCATCGTAATGACGCTCGGCGCGACGGAGCTACCAGATCCAGAGAAATAAGGACAGGCGAGCAGATATGTGATTAGAGGACATACCATGTTTGTGGAACTCAACCAATGCAAGGTGGGCGCGAACCTGTCGTACTCGTCAGGATCCATCTCAAAGTGAAAAGCTGGCGAGTGATGGATGGGAAGGCTTGAGAGCCTGGAGTCGAGCTCTTCAGCGGCGATCTTATCCTCGAAGATACCACCGATCACGATCTTGCGGATGCTATTCGAGGGCAAAATTGTCGAGAGTGTGTCGAGTACCATCGGCCAAATAAAGTCCCCGTGGTGTATCGAAATGCGGAGCACCACGAGGCACGGGAATGTGGAGAGGTCGATCATGGAGTCGTCGTAGGTCTGTCAAGAAGATGAGTGGGACGGATTGGGAACAAAATCGAAAGGCGCACGGAAGCGGTAAAGTCGAGGGCTTCAAGCGTTCGGAGGTATGGTGCAATCATTGACGAGCGGAGTACTTCTGCATGACTTGAGATCGACAACACCTTCAACCCCGAGAAATCGAATGGGCAGAAGGCGTGGTCCATCCAGTCAAGCAGCCCTATCATTCGGTGCATGATTTGGAGTGAGTCAAGGCGAATAGGCGCGGGCCAGCGGTGCGAGGTGGGCTGGAAGGCCTCGGTCGATGTCGGGGAAAATCTGAGTCCCAGGTGCTTGATACCAGGAGCGCAGCGCTCCCAGATCTGCATAAATGTCGAAGGGTCGCCATACCAGCCCTCCAGGCTAACAAAACGGAGAGTAGGCAGACTAAACAGCTGCTGCAGAGCGATCGCAAACGAAGGGGATAGGATGAAATGGCAAATGTAAACTTCCTTCAAATGAGTGAATGGGAAATTGCAGATGGCGGAGACTGTTTCGAGAGATATCGGGCGGGGATGAATTGTCAGTCGATGAATGTGCTGGACTAGGTGTGGGGAGGTATGCAGTGTCTCCTGGCAGCGAGACCACAAGATGGTGTTTTTGTTTCTTGGGGGTCCATAATCACCGAAGGATAGCTCTTCGAAGATATAAGATTGGGCCGCATGCACAAATGCCCGGGAAACTAAGGCGCAAGCCTTCAAATCGGTCGGGCTATCGTCGAGGAAATCAATGATGTGGTTCACCAGTTCCTGCGGTATCTGAATGTGGTCCGGCTCCATTAGATGGGGGGAAGCGAGAGATATTCTGGATGTGTGCCTGGGCTTCTGGCTCGGAGCTCAGGCGGCCAACTTCCGAAGGTACTGTGGTGGGAAGAGGCAAGAGTGTCACGCGTGACATATTGTGACCTTCCTTCTTTTCTTCCGAGACGTCGCACACGTCCTCAATCATTCCTCATTGGCAACTTCTTGATCACGTCCGAGTCGCACAATATGGCGACGCCCTCCCACTGAGCTCCTTCCGTCCCTGGGCCTCCATTCGACAACCCCGCCGCGAATGTCATCCTCCGCTCCACGGATGGGATCGATTTCAGTTCCACCTCCACCGCGTCGTACTATCACTGGCTTCGCCCTTCTTCTCTGCGTGAATATCTCGACGAGGATCCTGTCGCTGTCTTTGCCACCGCGTGAATGGAAGGACTTGACGCTGGAAGCGGCGCTGAGCTCCCTGAGAGTCTGAGACTCCCGATTCGCACATTCGAGTCAGTCCCGGACCGTCGTCCCGAGCTCAAATACATCTCTGGCGATAAGTATCATCTCTACCACGATGCCGAGTGCGGACAGGCCGCAAGATTGGCCAGTTCCTCACTCAAATGGACGCTTTGCCACAATTTCCCAATTCTGGGTGTGTCAGCACCGCCTCTATCTGTCCAATGGACCACGCGGACAGGGAGTCCGCGACCTCTGATTCAGATAGCATCACAGCTTGGTTCGCCCTCTATTTGAGACGCTTACCAGCCCTGCTTGGGACGACACCGGCCGCGGATCTGTAGACTCCAGAACTACTCACTCTGGTTGGTATTGAATGAAATCCCTGTGGACTGCACCTTCTGCAAAACAACAGGCACGGGGGAATTAATAAGGTTCGCGTCAGATTTTAGGGCGCATATTGCGATGAAAACCGGCTCAGTAGGCTTTCGTCATTGTCAGAATTGTATCGGGTGGTGACCTCTTTCTTACAGGTCGAACTGAAACTGGATTTCTAAACATCGATTTTGTCTTAGTGTCGTTCGTCATGTATGCGGTTTGACCGAAATAATGAGGAATCTCTGCACACAATCTGTAATCGAGCATCCCGAAATATGAATATCTACCTTTCCCAAGCCCGCGCTGACAGCTAGGCTTCTTCCCTAGGTTCGATGTCGGCGTAGAAGGTCCTGCCGCGTCGACTCTTGTCGTTCGATTGAGTGAGACCCGCTGGATGGGATTCCCGCTCCTCTACATTGGAGATTCTGAGCCGTCGGGATGCTCCTGGGAATCGCTGCTGCGCATGTCCCACATCTTCACGCGGTCCCTTTCAAAAATCATGTCGGCCCTTGGTCGTCAATTAAATGCCTTCACACTCCGCCATTCTCTTCATTTATTCGGTGCCAGATCTTCTCCCCTAAACGCCCACCACACATCCTCGGCATACCTCCTTCAGTCAAAATCTGTCGTGATAAATGCCCCCAGTTCGCGGAACGTGCGAATCCTGAAATAATTGGGCGGAAGCCTCTACTGGTGCGCACTGCGCAACGAAGTGAATCTGCTACCAGAAGGCCAGACGAATAATTCGGGCGGTTTACAAATATTGATTGTCTCCATCTAATTCCCAAAAGGCGATTCAAGGACCTTACGCTGCAGTGCGATATAGCGCGGTTGGTACCGAATCTATGAGGCTAAGTTTGCTCCGACGACTCTATGGAAACAAGGACTGGACAGCTTACAAAATTGCAATTGATCACTCAAGTCATGATCCCCGAGTCGGTTAACTGGATAGGACCCCAGAGACAAGTACGGATATGTAAACATGCATAGGCGATCGCGCACAATTGAAAATATAGTCCAATTCAACACAAACTTATCTTTATTAGAGAGGTTGCGCACAAGCCATTTGAGCCATCAGATGGCTTTTTTGCGGTGCGCAACTGGATGGCTAATGGCCTGGGTGGTTTCGGATCTCCCCCATCTCCTCTATGACTGTTAAGCAGGACACGCCCTACCATTATGCACGGATGTCGACATCAAAATATGTTGATGCGCAGAAATACTAGGGGCTCAATTGATCAGCTCGCAATGATTACCTGAAGGTGCCCGTTCGATCGACTCGGACTCCCGTCATACAGTAACCATACAAAGTTTGTTTAAACAACCTGCGTCTCGACGTAAAACCCTGTTCAAGCAATGGT